CTGAGCGAATGGGAAGCAGGGAAGGGGACGTGAAGCCGCACATTCATATAAATATATTGCATGTTCATGTGGTGCCCTTGCTGTCTCACGGATTCATGGGCACTCTTGCACACAGACATGCAACCAGCCTGGGGAGGTACTGTCAAATGCACTTTTCGGTAGGACGGTAGGACTGTGTCTCTGTGAGGCTTTGCGTGGAGCTGAGTCGCAGAGAGAGAGCTCGCCTGGAGGAGGGCCAAAGGGCCGAATCTAGCTGAGGTAACTCTGAAATGCAACTTTGGAACTGACATGAAAGCAGCAGCCTGCGTCCAGAAGCGTTCAGATATGTATTGAGGGCAGCTGATCCTCATTTTTTAAACTAGCTGAGGCTGCAAATGTTGATTCTTTATTTGATTTTCTCTGACATGTCTCTCCTTGTTTTATGTATTATGCAGCATATGCACGCATGTAGTGATTATTAGATTATGTATGCATGTACTAAATAAATAAGTAAATATATATATAATATATATTTTTGTGTCACAAGCCAACGGCACGTTGCACGTTTTCTGCGTTGGAGGCAGTGGTTTGGGTGAGACGAGCCCAATCCTGGAGGATGATGCAATTGTCACCGCTGCACCAGGTGACACGTCAATGGAAGAAACATATATCATATGTGCGTGTGGCACTCCCTTGGTAACGTAAGCGACACTTTTTCATTAACATCCTGCCTGAGGCTCCTTCTGGGGATGCGCCCCTTGCCGCTGTGCCTGAGCTTTGGAGCCTTGCTGATGCAAGAGGCGACTGAGGTACACAATCGGCCAACAAGGTCTTTTAAACATTGTAAGACAAAGTATCGAATGCAAAGCATGTTTTAGTCAACGTGTCGGATTGTTTCGTGAGAAGTGCTTGTGCGATCAATGAAGCCCTTGAATGCCAGATTGGGCGGCATAGAGGAGGGTTTAAGTGGCCTGTACCGCTGAAATGCTGCGCATTTCCGAAAGCGCCGCTCAGCATTCAGCACGCAAACCCGTTCTTTTTCCGCAGAATTCAGGTACAAATTCGTGCCGCAAAGGCTCAGAATCATCCCGGCGTCAAGTCGTGATTTCTGAGCACAGCTTGCAGCTAAGTCAGATAGATATATATATATAGGTTTCCGGTTTCCAGGAAGGGGCGCTGTTTAAGCCGATGTGGACACAGCAAGATGGACACAGCAAGATGCCACCAGTCTCTCCAGACATGCAACAAGCATCAAGATGCCACGAAGTTGCACTGTTGTGGCTGGAGAGTTTATGGTGCCCGGCTACATTTGTGGACTGAATGCGTGCGAAGCGTGTCTGGAATCTGGAAGGGATCCAATCATTCAATCTACATAAGCTTTGATGTAGCAGGTTGGCAATTCTTCCGCAAATGGCCGAAGACAAACCTTGGGCATCCCAAAAGTGGATGTGGCAGCATAGCTGCTTGTCTGAACTTGCGTGATCCTACGGCCACTATCAGACCTCAGACTATTTTTTGCTCGCATTGCCATTTGTACATGTCAATATAACTGGCACTTTTGTGCCTACAATTGGCAAGTCAAGTATGGACATGTAGATGTGGGTGAGAAGTCAGAAAACCAAAGAAAGGGAGAAGTGCTCCTCAGCGAAAGCGAGCAGTTCAATTCCGTCATCACCACTGCTCAACGTGGTATGCGAAGCGGAAGGCATAAAATGACCACCGTGCAGGCCGCAACCATAGTCGGCATATAGTCAGTAGCCAGTCGACAAACAGAATTCAGTGCTTTTCAGACCGAACAGACAGTGCGCTGTTCAATAAGAGGTCAAGCGGTAAGGTTGGTTCTTTTCCTCCTCGAAAGGCACCATTTTTTCTATAGGTGGGGACAGCATGTTGGTGGCATGCAGGGATGCGTGTATCACCGGCTTGATGCAACACATGCATGTGAAGTACCTATTCCAAGAGTTGCCACAACTTCCCACAGAGCAGCAAACAGCAAGATCAAGAAGGGCATAGCACGATTGCGAACTCCAAGTGCATTTTGTTTTTTCACAACGAGTCCCGTGCCTTTTTGGATGATTGCACAAAATTAAGTCTATGTCGGTTGGTGCGTCAACGGTTTCATTGGGAGCACTGCTGCTGGTGCTACTGCCACTTGACCCGGTTGTGGGAACTCCGGCTTTGGCATTGCAGGGTGGCGGCATCCGGGCGCTTGCCTCAGATGCAGGGCTCGTGGCAGGTGTTGCCAGGATAAAGCACCTCCAACACCTTCGGCAACTCGGGCAATCTTCAGATGTTCAAGCAGATTTAAACAGCTGGGACCTGACTGCAGTGCTGAAGCAGTTCCATATGGTGTCCAGCGTCAGTGGTTCCTCGTGGTTTGCAGCAGAGTTGTTCTTCTCCAGCAGCTTTCTTGATTTGCTAGCAGGCAGGATAGAGGAATGAACTGTAATGTGGATGGCGTTCAAAGATGATCAAACTACTTGAAGTAGGATTTGCAGTGTTTAGATGATGTTGCCACTGCATGACTGCATGTCCTTAGAAATCGAGCGACACACACACACATATACATACACTGTATATATATATAACACCACCCCGTGCCACAGCGCTAGCAGCCCACTCGCTGAGTATTTGCAACGGCCTCCCCACTTCGCTGAGTTTTTCCTAAGAAAGAAGACGTCAGCTTCCTGGGTGCAGTGAATCGATCAAAAACCTTTGTGCGGCGAAGAGGGAAGCAAGCACGAAAGAGCCAGAACAAACCATCATCGTTGTCACAACTTGCACACTGCACCTTCCGAGTTGACACTTTGAAGGTATAGCATCCTCACCTTCGAAATCTGCCCAGAAATTTGAAAAGGGCTGGATTGGGCCTTGGTTGCGAGCAACTGGTGTGACGGAGCCAGAGTACCAAAGATGAATGGCAACTTTGTGTTTGTTGAGCTTGCTTCTGATTTGGCACGTTCCACTGGCTGACTAGCTAAAACAACGCTTACAGCTTCAACTGCGTGTTGACCATATCCAAGGTTTGACAGCTGGCAAACTCTTGTTCGGCTTTGGGTGAAGTTTTGGTTAGGCACTGGTGATGAAGACACGATATTTTTGGCACAGTTCTTCCTTGCCACTGGCTTATCTTGGAACCACTTCGTGGATGTGCTCCTGAACTCAACTGCAGGAATCTCCAGCGATGCGAAGACGCTCTGTCAGTCTGTAAGTTTGACGTTGAGATGACCTGCGTAGGCGAAGCATATTCATTCTTTTGGTGTTGCTGGGGAAGGGTCAACAAGGCAAGCTGATACTGAAGTGGTAGGAATGATCTACCAAAGGCAAGAAAGACCGCTGAAAGCAGATTGCAGTGACCCAAGCACACCCATCCATGCAATCAGGATGGGTTCTTTGCCCGCCTTTCCCACTCATCAAGTTTGGCTTGTGGACCACACACTTCTTTTGCCATCTGGAGGGGCTTGCATCTCAGAAGGTTGCTCAGCTTGCGCACGTGTTGTGCATCTACATAGATTTTCATGTTTGCCATGTTTGCCGGCTGTTCATTGAGGCTTTAGATGCTTGCTGCTTTATCCTTTTAGGTTGATATGGTGCACACTTCCTGGGTTTGATATCTAGAATCTAGTGTTTACCTGTGCTGAGTGGCCAAGGCAAACTACTCCTCCCGCATGTACGCTACAAGGCTGAGACTGGTACAGACCTGCCGATATATTTGCCTGCAGCATTCAGCATCAAGCTAGGTGCAGGCCGCGAACAATGATGAAGTGTGTTTGATGCTGCTTTGGTTGCGTTTCAACGGAATCTGTGGGACCAATGTGCCCAGCTGTCCAGCGGAAATGATTTGCTAGGAAGCCAAACACTTCTGTTTCACGCCAGCTTCGACAAATTTCAGTCTCACATCAAAACAACTCTGATTTTCATCAGTCTTTTCTGTGCTTGATCAAGTCCCGACCTCGAAACTCTGTAAGCCCTCCAGCTGTTCAAGCAGCCAAGCCCACATGCCTCAGGCCTCCACAGCGTTGCACCCGTTTCATACATGGCATTGCCAGAGGTCCCAATCAAGCGGCTGGACTGCACTTCACAATGCCACAACTGCCGCACTACTTTACTTTCGCAGATTGAGGCATATTGAGGCTATTGATGCCCTGTGCACGCAATCTGCACTGACGCAATCCAAGATATGCGCGCAATTATGTAGGACAAACATTTCTAGAATCTCGCGTGTCGCTTCTTCGAACGGTGGCTTATGTATTCTTGTGTGCTGATTCCCGTGAAGAACCCAAGGTGCCTGATGCTCGTAGAGTTGGACGCCCTCGTAATTGGACGACAACAAACATGCGCGGGGTGCGGTGTTTAGTTCAACAAACTGACAGGGGCCTCCAAGCTCAACCTTTCTAACCGACGACCGCGAGAAACGCTTGTGACAAAAGCAAGAGCTTATTTTGAGCATTGAACAACTGAGCGCGGTTTCGCCAGAGTCTTCTTTCATGTGTGACTATGTTCCTTTTTTGCGTTACTCTTTGTGCAATCACTCTTTGATTGAAGCTTGTGATTGATGACAGTTCTGTTTCCTTGGAATATTATCTGCTTTGTATGCCTCATTTTATGGTCCTACGTTTTGCACCTTACAATTCAACAAGGTAGGGTGGGCCACTTGTCTCACCCAGACAAAGGTGGCTTTGGCAAAAACACAGCAATGCCAACTTGGTTTTGCCGTTCCTCAGAGCTAGCTGGATGCTAAGGTTCAACTTTGAGGGCGTTTGGTTGGGGGGCTCCAGCTCCAAGTCATCTTCTCCCATGTTTGTCGATGCGACCAACGGCAGCCTAATGAACACAAGTGGCCAACTCCCTATTGCCCGAACTGTCGCTGCCTCTTCTGCCTTTTTTGGCTCTGCGATTGATAGCGTCCTTCTATCTGAGATCTCCGCTCAGCTCTCGGCAGACGTGGCGGTGTGGGTCGGTGAGACAGGCTTCGAAGCTGCAGAGCACATTCGAGAAGAGCTTCAGTCGCATGTAGATTCACAAGCTATCTCGCAGCTCGCTCAGATCGCTTTCCACGCTCTGCTCGATGGTGGCTTTACTGACGGCACTGGAGTTGCACAGGCAGTAGCCGCAGGTTCTTCCGAAGTGGTGGCGGTCTTGAACAGTTTCTCCTCCAATCAGCCAGAGTATGTGGCACAACTATTTCCAGGTGGCACTGTCATCAAACCTGGTGTACCCAAGGAACTCTTTCCCGTCTTTCAATCTCCCAATGCCTCCACGGTTCAAGCGTCCTTTGAACACTTTGAAACTTTGCAGATTGCCGCTGGAAGCATGTACTTGAAGGTTCTTGCCATCGGTACCATCGATGCCGTGACCGCGGACAATGCCTTTTTTGGAATCACACGCGGGCGGGCCATCAAGATCCAAGTGATCAACATATGCTCTGAGCTAAGTATCGGGTTGTTTGCCAATTTTGCGCACTATAGCAACCTTGTGGAGGAGATCGTTTTGACCATTTCGGATCCAGCCAATCAAGACGCAGTGCTGACAAAGTTGATGCCCTTATTTGACTCATCCTTCGATTCAAGGCCTCACATGGTCCGCTTTGTTTAAATTGAATCTGCCGTTGTGCGAAGCACAATACATGTGGAGAGGCAATGCCTGGGCCTGTAGCATCAATTGCACTGCTTTCTTCACAGCTCAGGGGATGATGCGGGAATTCATGGTTTGCTTGTGCCGCAGCTACAGCTATTGACGGCAGTTGCACAGCTGGTGTAGCGTGCTGTGACTTGTGCAGCATGCAGATTGAAGCAGGAAAGAAGGCGCTTGGAGTGGCTGCCCCCAAACTGACACCGGATGAGCTTTGCTTCTCACGTTTTCTTTTTTTGTTTCCTTCTTCTTCTTCTTCTTCTTCTTCTTCTCTTGCTTTTTATTCGGTTGTGTAGTGCATGCTCTGATGGGCAGATGGAGAGCATCGCGTTCGTTGGCGAGTCGACCCTACGGTTTCAAGAAGAGGCGCTGGCAGCTTTGCCGAGAACTGTGTGCCATTCCTTCTTGGATGCTTTTGTGTTTGTTCATGGGTGGTTCTGTAAGAAGGACAGGTGGCAAAAGTTCTGTCTGTCTGTCTGCCTGCCCGCCTGTTTGTGTTTGTTTGTTTGTTTGTTTTTTTGTTTGTTTGTCGCCAGGCTTTGGGGTCTAAGCCTCTATAGCCCCTGGGACTCCCTGTGAACGGGCCAGCCTGAACCGACAGGGCAACTCAGCAAACAATTAGAAAATCCGTTGCCATAGAGAATGGAAAGCCTGCGCATGCCAGAATCCAGGAAGTCTGACACCACCCTGATGCCTGAGCCGCAGGAACCTTTATGCCCTACAGAACCATGCCGGAACCTTCCACACTGTTGGAGGAACAAAGCCAATCATGTACATTCCAGGTTCTATGATTCTATTGGGAATTGCACTTGAGCATATTGCACTCATGTTTGGTTGTTGTCGTTGGTATGGTCCCTCGAGGGCGTCATGGGGGGTAAGTGTTTTTTTGGTGAAAACACGTTTTTATGGGAGACGCGGATGCTACGAAGTGAGGAAAACACAGGTTGGGACACTGCTGCCACTGCAAGGACAAGCACCAAAACCAAAAAAACTTTTCCGAACATGCAGTTTTCTATCAGCCGTGCTGGTGCTGGTGCTTTCGTTTTGCGGGTGCTGTTGCCGTGCTGGCGCTGACGCTGGACCTGGATCGACGTTTCGTTTTGCGGGTGCTGCTGCGGTGCTGGTACTGGTGCTGGTCCAGGGATGCCATGCCCAGAAAGACGTCATGTCATGCGAGGGATGACAAACCTATAGACCCGCTACATAGCGGGTCTATGCCGGTGTACTGCACACTAATCTCAAACACAATAACCCTCACTGGGGCTCGGCAATGTCGCAGGCGCAAATTTGTGCGACGCCCTCAATCGAGCCATGCCTGCTTTTTTCGTGCCAGTTTGTCTGTTCCTCGCCTTGTTCTCACTTCTTACCCCAACCTCAACCCAAATCCATACTCATCCTTCATTGTGCCATCACACCTCTTGCACCAACACGTCGCTGGCGAAGGCAACAAGTTACACCAACTCCTCACACCTCGCGCACAATTTCATCACGCAGCAATTCACCAAGTCAATGCGTTTTGGAGAGTGGTCAGATCACGTACCTCCAGCCGGTGTTGCGGCATGCTCCACAGGCTTCAGGTGTTTGGGCGTGGAAGGGGTGCAGGTCTTGGCACAGCCAGCACAGGTACAGTTCTTTGACAGCTGGTCAGGTGATGCCTGGCGGGCTAGTGACGCATTTGTGCTTGCGGAATGCTGTGTCTTTACCATTCTGTTTTTCCTCAGCGGTACAGAGATACGTTGTCACATTTGGTGAACTGATGGTGAAGTGTACGTTTTCCCCAGTGGTCTAGTGACTAGTGGTTCATTCCCACCACTCAGAAGAGGCCGTATGCTGTCACCACTGCTGCCATAGAAAGATTTTACCGTAGGGCCGTCGCATAGAATAAGTAGAGTGGCTTGTGTAAGTGGCGACGATTGGGGAAGTACTCGTGCGTTGCGAACGTCTCAATTGCAGTCATCCCAAAATCATCTCACGCATCAAATCACTTGGCACTCGCAGTCACCTGCCAATACTGCACAAATAGGGAGGTATGCGATGGTACATGTAGCCTTGTGGAAGGGCTACACATGTGGGCTTGTCACTGGGTTGTTTAGTTCTTCAGCGTTACGACTTCCTTTTGATCCTTGCCTCCCACATTTATGCCAGGTCCGCACCCTCCGTCCTGAGCTTGGCTGGACAAATGTCACGACTTGCTAATGAGTAGCTGGGTAGCTGTACTTTTTTGTAGGCATGCATCACCCAAGGCAAGAGCTTGGAGGAAAGTGAAAGAACGCGGGACCAGCTCGCTCAGGAGAAGGCATGTGCTGGGATTTGCTCCCTGGCGTGGGGAGGCTGAACCACGAGCGTAGAAGCAACAGCAAAGAGCTATATAGAATCTTCAAGGAAATGAACAAAAATCATTCTGATGAGAAAGAGAGGCCTTTTGATGAGACTGCTTTGGTAGGGCCAGAAAGATAGGGATAATGCGTCGGCGATCAGAGCAAGTAGCCGGCATTTGATGCCAGCAAATTTCTATTAAACACTCCAGTAAGTCAAGCATTCCATACAGCATAGCAAGGAGCATATTAAGTCTAGGAAAACTTGAGGTTGAGCTTTGCCGTGCTGTTCGGTAGGCCACCATGCAGAATAACTTCAGTGATATGAAGCAGCGCTCTGACAGGGACCGTAGTGATCAACTGTCGCTGGACTTTGACTCTATACCATTCTTTGTTGAAGCTTATGGTCAAGCTGTCAATTCCAGGACCGCTACCTTTCAGAAGAGTCTCACAAGCAGCAACTTGGACAATAGTATGTCGAAAGGTCCATCACATCCATTTTCTGACTTTGTGTGCGAATGCTTGGAGCGCTTGAATCATTGAGACTAGATGCTGCTGCACTCAGGAATTTGGACATTTTGAGCAACTTGGAGCGTTCAGAGAAGCAGGCCAATTGACCATGCGGGGGAGGCCAATGCCAATGCTACACGTAACGATTTCGGTGTTCCGGTCCTGGTCTTCACTCTTACCACTTGCCACCAAGTGTTTTGGGTAGAATGTGAAGGCATGTGGCACAGTCAGGTGGAGGCTTTGCGCAAGCAAGAGCGGGAGTGCTATGGCGAGATTGCCAAGCTGTTTGGGGCTTGGTTCCATGCCTGACTGATTGCATTTCGAGAAGCACACCCCTTACAGTAATTTTGTCACTCCGACCTGTAAGCCTTTCACCCCTCCCAGAATTGGAAAAGACGTGGATTGCTTCGGCATCTGGAGGCAACATCAGGTAAAAGAGCAAGACCAGAGGAACAAAATGGTGGAGGAGCTAAACATGAGTTGGTGGCTTCCAGCTCTTTCAGCTGTTGACATGCAAGGCGCAGCTGAATGCAGAAAGGGCCGCAAGCTCAGCAAGTGCTGAACAGGAAACTGAACATTTGGGTTTGTTCTTTGCTCATGTCCTGCCTCTCATCTGTGTAGCTTCATTTGTTTCTTGGCCTAGGTCTTTGTGTGGGATGCAACAATGAAAACATGAATCATCCCCTTCTCTATTTTCTCAATCTTCTCCCATTGATGCTTGTTGGCACGCTGCCTTCTGTTTGGATGCTTCGCCCGGCGGACCTGCGTAACGGTCCTCTTTCGTACACGACTGTATGCCTCCGCCTCCTGTTGTTAGCAAGGAGTGCTGTGCACCTACTGCCTACTGACTGAGTTGAAGAGCACCAACCTTGTGCCTCGTGAAGAACATGAGGTGGAACAATGAAGACTGCCAAGGGAGTCATTTTGCCACCATGGGGCCCATGTATATATCTATATAAAAGACGCAAAAGTGAGTCACTGGTTTGGCTAGCTAACTGGATCTGGCTGTGCAGGCTTTGAAGGAAGAGTTGAAAGCAGCACGGCACCGATGCGTTACCCTGAGAGGAATCGGGAGATTCATACATACACCTCTCCAGGGCAGTTGCGTTTCAGTTTGAGGTCTTGAGCTTGAAGAGATGTGGGGCTCCTTGAGAAGTTGACTGGAGTGCCTGTTGATTTTTAAAAATAGAGGCCCTACTGTAAGATTTCGATGCCGAGGCAAGCTAGCAAAGAGAAGGACTCCTTTCCCACTGCCTGCGCAAGTCCGACATCATCGTGATTCTTGGCGGTCCAGCTCCTGGCACATTCAGACAGCCAGGACTATCAGAACATTGTGGACGCTTACAAGCTCTTGAGTGGCCATGATTCGAGTGGCATTGAGGCACGCAACCCTCGTGCAACTCAAGAATAAAGCGCGTGGTTTTTGTGCAGCTTTGTTTGTGCCCAGGGGAGGCCTTTAACGCCCAGACCGATTTGGATGTCGTGTCGAGGTCACTACTCTTAAGAGGGGTCGACCCTGGAAACAAGCGAAAACATGACTTGGCAGTGCTGCTTTGGCCCGTTGAGGTGTGCTTGACCCTGAAAGCTTGCGAACGATGCAGCAGAGCGACTTCCTACAGGCGACATGCTGTCCGACGGAGTGCTTTGTCATACAACAATGTTTCAGAACCATGCTGCGAATCAGTTTCACGTGCAAGCTTTACGCAGGATCTTGTGATGCGCATTATGCAATCCTCGAGGCGTTTCTGTTCTTTTTTGCAAAGTTCGTATGGCACACTTGCCAGACGAATCCTAGAATGCAATGAGTGCAGAGACCCCAAGCAAGTAGGCTGCTTGCCAGATCCTGATGCCTCCAACTAGACCCTGGTGTGTTTGGATCAAGATGATCAAGCCTCACCCACATAAGATTTTTCACTGCTCCGGGTGATTTCATGACAACGAAGCTTTTTACTACTGGGACTTTTGCATCAGACCGACAATTGTCAGCTTTGCACCTCCCTCCCCCCAACACACGCACACACACATACCCTGCAGCCTGAAGATGATGAACAACATTGGATTGCCACACAGGTACTTTGCGACACGCTTCTTTACACACTAAGACTGATGGCGGAGTACTCGGGTGCTGATGCCACTGTGCAGGCTACGAATGATAGCTCAATCGTGAGTAAGGCCAGCACGGCAGCAGCAGGCTATTTTGAGGATCCCTTCGTCGGGCATGTTGCCATTCGTGGACCCAAGGGGCGCTTGATTCGCAGGTCGCCTTTAGTGCACAGATGTTACTATGTTCGGCACCTTGGAGTCTTCCAGATGCAGGAGACCTTTCTCCGGAGCTGTATCTCACCTGGTGATGCATACAATGTGGTCGTACTGGGGGCGGGCTTTGACACGGGTGCCCTTCGCAGGGGTTGGCCCCATGGCCTTCGAGGCTATTTTGAAGTGGACTTTCCAGCAGTGTTGCAGCGAAAAGAAGCTTTATTAAAACAAGCACAAGTCCTAAGGCCTGATTGGCTGCACAGCTGTGGCGCGGACCTGCGAGATACGTCGGAAGTGGAAGCATCCTTACGATGTGCAGGTGTTGATTTCATGGTGCCAACACTTCTGATTGCCGAAGTGGTCCTTGCTTACATGGAAAACAGTGAGGGAGACGAGTTGATTGCCTGGGTGGCCAAGGCCTTTCGAAATTGTTTATTCGGTGTATATGAGCAAATAGGCCCCCATGATTCCTTTGGCCGATTCATGCGCAAACATTTTTCTCAACGGCAATGTCCATTGAGGGCCTTGCTTGCGAATCCTGACTTGGAGTGTCAGAAGATACGATTTCGTGCATTTGATCGCGTAGATGCTGCTGATATGATGTCAATCCTCGCGGCAGCTCCGGTAGATGAACTCAAACGTGCCTTCCAATTGGAAGCATTTGATGAATTTGAGGAGTTCCACCTGAAGTGCGTACACTATTTTTGTCTTGCTGCCATCTCGGGAACTTGTACCAGGGCAAGGCGACAATGGCAGGTCGCAGTCCAGACGAACTCGTGTGCAGTCAACCCAATGCTAATGCCTGTTGAAGCTGTAAGTCTTGCCATTCCAAGGTTTGGTCTTGCAGCATCGTTTTGTTCGGGGCACATCGTTATCTCTGGTGGGCAGGGTACCTTCAATGCTACAACTTCTGATGCACCTCATGGTCGTCAGGTCTCGATCATGGCCATGAAGCTTGAGGCATATCCATTCAGAAGCTGCGCTTCTAAACAAATAGGTGAACACGCGGCTGCCATGTACTGCACATGTACCACAGTCAACGATCAAGTCTTCGTTTTTGGAGGCCGACTGGCACCTCAACGGCCTAGTGCTGCCTTAGGAATTTGCACGTGTCCATCTTCTGGTCCTCCCTCAATCCGGCAAGTTCACGAAGCTTATCCATGGCCCATGGCACGTTGGCGGCACACGGCGACCAAAATTCATTTGGGAGGCCCCGGCTTGCTGGTTTTAGGTGGAATCGGAGAAGCTTTGGAAGTGCTAAGCTTGGAAGAAGCATGGTTTCTTGATACGGATTCCCTGACTTGGCAGCAGTTCTTTGTGGAACCTGCACCTGATGGCGGCTTTCCTGTGGCACGGCATTCCCATGCTGCAGCACTTGGCTCTGGAGGTGTTTTAGTTTGTGGTGGCCTGGATGCTGATGAGCACATTCTGGGTGATGCGTGGACGTTGCATGCGGTTTTTGATGGGATTCAGAACCGGTTCAGACTTGCGTGGCGGCGAGCCCTATCACCCTTGCCACGCCCACGCTATGGCCACAACCTGCACGAATACTTTGGCCATTTTATCGTCGTCGGGGGAATCGATGCGACATTGGGATCGGCTTCTATTTGTGCCTTTGGAAAGTCTTTTGCGGTCAGTTGCAGTGCCATGAGAGATGGTGAACCAGAAATTTTCATGTGGCACAATTTGGCATCAGTCATGCTGGAAGACAGTGAATTTCTTGTAATCCTCGGAGGAGGCGGGAACTGCTTCTCTTTTGGAACTCATTTGAATCAATCGGCAAGGCTCCTCAACCTGAGGGAGCTTATCAAACAAGCTGAGAAGTCACAGACTGAGACCCTATGTGCGCAATGCTTGGGCTGGTGTTGGGGTGCACGGTAAAAAGTTTGCCGGCCTGCTTGCAGCTTGGGGTCGAATCCACATTACATTCTGTCAGACAATCGTAGAAGCAGAGGATCAACAGATTAAAAAACATATGGACACATTCTGAATTATTTGGTTAAAGTTTCGCTAGTGCTGAGTTCACAAAGAGAGAGCGAGAGAGAGACAGAGAGACAGAGAGACAGAGAGACAGAGAGACAGAGAGACAGACAGACAGACAGCCAGGCAGGCAGGCAGACAGACAGACACAGACACAGACACAGACAGAGACAGAGACAGAG